GTTTTTTCTATTTTGCTGAATATCATTTCTTAGAAAGGCAATTTTTATTGGATGTGTACTTGTGACCGGCACTATACTAATATCAATTTTAATAGATTTTCTTAAAAATTTTATAACTCTGGAAACAGAATAGTCACAGAAAAAAATCCAAAATGATTATTTACTCCTGAGAACCTTATCTACAACGTAACAATGCAAAATTTTGTGTTTACAATAAATTTTAGAAATTGTGTTAATAAACATCTAGAATTTTGACAAAAATTACATTTAGTAATATGCAATCACATCAATGTTACAAGTATTTGCAAAAAAATAGCATTGTTACGTTGTAAACGCATATTTTGGGAATACAAAACACTTTTCAGAATTGGAAAACCCCATCTGTATGTTGAGTTATAAAAATTTCTGTAAAGGTGATTTTTCTTAATTGATAAATATTAATTTCGCATTTGTTAATTATTATAAAAATGATCAACAAAAATCTTTACTATTTGATTTTATTATTTGATTTCTCCTATGTTTGTGACTATACTAATATCTAACACCCCAGCCCTCAATGGTAATCAAAGATGAAGGAAAAAAGACCGATTATGATGATGATGTATATACTAGAATCTAAAAGCATACAATTTCACAACAGAAATGGAAAGACCACTTACAACTATGAAGGAGGAATGGCACATATTTCAGGGAAGACACTCCCAAGTGAATGTGAGAGAAGAAGACCATCATAACCATTTCCGATGTATATGGTGCAAACAAACATGTAAAGCTTTCCATCAGAGGTGTAGATGCAACTTGGAAGAAAAGATACAAGCTTACAATTTAAAGTTTGAAACAGAAGAAGAAATAGGCCAATATGCAATTGATGTTGGGAAAGGACTCAACGAAGAACAAACTTAACAACTTTCTGAATTGTTATATAAATACCATGACATATTTGCTTGGGAGAAGTTTATCCAAGAAGAAATACAAGAATGTTAGATGCAGGATTCATTCATGAATCAAATAGCGAGTATGCCTTAGAAGTTGTAGTAGTAGAAAAGAAAGGAGAAGTCCTACGATTTTGTGTGGACTATAGAGATCTAAATAAGAAAACCAAGAAGGCCCTATGAAAAATTTGGTATGGAAAACTGTATGGAAAAATGCAAATTTCAGGTAAATTCCATACTAGTACAGTTTTCCATACATTTTCCATACCAAATTTTTTATAGGGAGGATTCTTATCCTTTACCAAGAATTGATGACATATTAGAAACACTACAAGGTTTTCATCCTTAGATTTAGCAAGTGATACTGGCAAGTTGAGATGAAACCAGAGGATGTCTAAAAGACCACCTTCATCAACTTTTGAATTCACAATTATGCCTTTTGGATTAACAAATGCTCCTGGAACTTTTCAGAGATTGATGGATAAAGTCCTCTGGGACATGCTATGGAAGTCAATAGTAGTATACCTTGATGATGTCAATATCTACTCAAAGATATGGGAGGAACATCTACAACATCTAGAAAAAATTTTCGAACATATCCAAAAAGCAGGACTGAAACTTAGCCCATGGAATGTCAATTGGAAATACAGAGTTGAAGTTCTTAAGACACATAGTTAGAAAAGATGGAATTAAGATGGACTCCAACAAAGTTAGAGAAGGTGCAAAACTTTCCTAAACCTATTAATGTCACTCAAGTTAGAAGTTTCTTAGGACTTTGTAACTATTATAGAAAATTTGTAAAAGGATTTGCAAAGAGATCTTCACCTTTAACAGAACTATTAAAGGAAGGAGAGGAATTTAATTGGACGAATAGACAACAAGAAACTTTTGAAGACTTGATAGAACAACTCACCACTGAACCTATATTAGTATATCCAAACTGGAAGCAATCATTCATCTTATCTATGGATGCATCAACATTTGCTTTAGGAGCAATTCTTTTCACAACTAGATAATAAAGGAAATGAAAGAGTGATTGCATATGCTAGTAGACAACTAAGACTGGCAGAGAAGAACTATGCAGCAACAGAATTAGATTGCATTATATGGGCCATAAAACATTTTCATATATACCTTAGTGGATCCAAGTTTAAATTAATTATAGACCATGCAGTGTTGAAGTATTTAAACAATATGGAGGGAAATTAGCTTGTTGGATTATGACACTACAGACTTATAATTTCGAAGCAGAACATAGATCAGGAAAGAAGCATCAGAGTGTAGATACAATGTCTAGAATAAAACGGGATACTAGGATTAACTTAGTTAAATAAACCATTTTAATTAATTAGTATAAACATTATATAGACATTATCATTATCTATATATACAGGGTGTTAAGAAAAAATGGTGGTTTGCATACTATGCATATTGTAACTACTTAATAACAAATTATTAAATACAAGTAAAACCAAATGGTGGTGTTATTTTTATTCTGCCCACGGCATTATCACAAGTAATTTTTTCACCTTTATTCAATTTTTTAATTCCATCAAAAATCATGCTAAGAATTCCATTAGGACCTTTTCCTATAATCTCATCTTCGTTAAGAACATAGTTAATTTGTTCCCTTACTGCTTCGTCTTGAATACCAAATAAATGAACTTTACATGGACTAAGGTAATATATTTTACTTACTTGTTGATCAGAATGTGACACATGAACATTTTGGGCTCAATCATAACTATAATGAGCAGTGGTATCAATATTACAATACTGTGTTCTACCCTTTGAATAATTTTGATTAACTAATTTTCTTTGTTCTGCTAATTTGGTGTTTTTTATTATAATAATTTCTTTCTATTTTGGCCTTGGACAAATGTTCTTTAAATCTTTTGAGTAAATCAAGTTACAATCGTTTATGATCATAGGGTAATATTAATGATTTTTTTATGTTTTCCATTGCTTTAAATAATAATGATTGATCGATATTAAATTACATTGTATAGAGTGACAGATCTCGTGGATTTGGATTTGTTTATATGGATTCAGTTGAGGAAGCAACAACCGCCAAAGAAAAAACTAATGGAATGGTATTTTTCACATTTCTTATTTAGTTTTAATATTATTTAATGAATTCTTGATTTAAAAAAAACTATTATTATATCTAATTCTAGGAAGTAAATGGCAGAAATATGCGTGTTGATTATTCTTTGACACAAAGGCCACATACGCCTACTCCCGGAGAATATATGGGCGATAGACCTCGTTATCGTAGTAGTGGTAATGTTTATCGTCGTACACCATCTTATTCTCCTCGAAGATTTAATAGAAGAAGAAGTCCTTCAAGATCTAGGAGCCGTAGTTGGTCAAGAGGTCGAAGAAGGTCTCGTAGTAATAGTTTTTCAAGATATAGAAGAAGTTCACCAGGTCGTAGAAGAGGATCTCGTAGTTATTCACGTTAAATTGGTTGGTTGATAGGTTTATGAAATCTAAAAAAAATAGAATTTAATGTTGCAGTAATTAATTACTAACAATACGATATGTGTGTATGCGCGCATGTATTCATGCATGCATATTAGTTTAAATAATAGAATTTCGGATATTTATTGACAGATTTGCGAATTTATATTAATTTTTTTTTTTAAGTATTGTGATTGGGTATTACTACAGTTTCTTTTTTTTTAATATGTTTCAGGATTAAGAGAAAGAGAAAAAAGGGCCATCTGAAGAGTGAAGAATTAAAATATTTTGAAATGAATTGATTATATTCTTAATATATTAAATGAAGTTTTCTATTTACAATTAGGAATAGGTGATAAAAAATTTTTTAATGTTATTTTTCCCATAAAATTTATATATAAATTTAATTTTATGATTATATACACAAGTAGGTAATGAATTAAGTATCCTACAAAAAAATTTCCATTTATATATACACACACACATATATACAATTTATTGCAAATCTCAACCTTTTCAAATGTTATACATTCAAAAATTCAGACCTTCAAGAATTAGAAATATCGTATATAGAAGAAAGAAAAAATTATAAATATATGAAGGCATCGTTTCCACATTTGGAAACATGAAAAGAAAATAATTTTGAATATATTCGAAGAAAAATGAATTATTATACTTATCTCTCTCTTACTTTTAAAAGTGGGAATTAATGAAGTTAAACGAAATCAGAAGGATTTGTGAAAAAGATACAATGGGTTAATTATTGATTAATTGATTGAATAGTTGAATGAATATTGAATGAATGAACCAATTAAAGAATAATTTATTAAAACCATTGATCGAAATGATTGGATTTGAAGAGAAGTTTATCTGTTAGTGATCTAATTGTCTATATTTAACATGCCTTCCGATTTAATATTGAAAAGCGCCAAAAAAATTTTTTAGTCTTTTTACGTATTTGGTAAAAGTGAATGTTGTTGCTGATCTACTGATTAGCCTTTTGATTTATTTATCGTCGCCTATTTAATCTTCTTCTAAATAAGTAAATTTCTTGCCGATTCTTCCCTAGAAAAATTTTTTTATAATTATAATAAAAAACAAATAATGCATAAGCACAAATTACCTACTCAATTTCATAAATATGCAGAACGACTTTTAAAAGGCGGCGTTTATAAATCAATACCAGCCTGGTATCCTGTTATGAAGGCTATTCCTCCTGGTCCTAGTATAATTCGTTCTCAACTTCATTTTAATGAGCCTTCAACAACAATTAGTAGTAGTAATGAATTTACTGCAACTGAAAATAGAGATTCCACAACAACAAACGAAAATAATTTTATATTTAAAACGAGCTCTTATTCTCAAAAACATTTAAGGGCAAAAATTCCAAAGCCTATAAAAATTAGATATGAAGAAGATGAATTAAGAAAAAGATTTTATCATGATCATCCTTACGAATTATTAATACCTCGAGTTTTAATAGAGAATAATAATAATGATGATATATCAAGCGAAGAAGAGGTTTATAAATCATTATTTGAGGCAGAGAAAAAACATTATAAAATAAGTGGTGAAAGGTTGTCTTTCTTTTGTATTAATATAGTATGTTTTTAACTTATAAAGATTAACATTATTTGTATATATATATTTAATATTATTAGTGTGATAAAATATCAAAAATTTTTAATGTCAACTGGGAAAACTAAAAATGAAGCTTATGTTGAAGCATGTAATGAATTCTACAAGATTCGAGCAAGACAAGAAGTTGAAGAACGTATTGCAGAAGAACAAGCAATAGTATTTGGATCTAAAATAAATAAATCAGAAGTTGAAAAAACATTAAAGAAGGAAGCTAAAAATCTCAAAAATTCAAATATAATCCAAATATTGAGAAGATTTTAAAACAATTTATGATTATAGATAGATAATCTTCATTTTAAAAACCATAAATATATTTTTTGTCAAGATATAATCATAATAATAACAGCAATATTTATAAATTAAATAATTTATTGGCAAATTAATTTCTAACAAAAATACTTTAGGGCTTTGTGCCTTAAAAATAAAAGCTCCAGCAACAGCAACATTTGCAACCACTTCAGCAGCTTGATCTATCGTATCAAGGGCAAGACCTCCATCAACTTCAGGAATTGTTTTCTTAATGTTTTACCTATCTGCCTAATATTAACAAGTTTTGTTAGGGACGTCTGCATATTAGCTAATGATTTTAGGTTTATGTAACTGTGAGCAAATTTAAAAAAGATTGGCAAAGAAAATTTCACAACAAAAAAAAAGTAACTTAATATGTTTTTATACATATCATTTTTGAAGATCATGGCGAGGTTTCAGTAAAGGACGGAATTTTTGTTTAATCCAATTTGTTATACAATTGCTAAGTAATGATAATTCACCATCCATCATTTTAATAAATAATATTATATATTAAAAAGTAGTAACCACCCACTTTCTTTGATCACCCTATCAAATTCAATTAATATCAAAATATTTATATTAATATTAATATGTTGTGAGCTTAAGTTAATCAAAATTTGTTAAATTTACAACATAATGAATTATAATAATAATTAATAATAGATTGCTTAAAAATCTACTATTACTATGGTGCGTCTAGTCTAGTCCCAGCAATTGACATAATAAGTGGCCAAATTTGAAAATTATATATGAACACAGGTGTAACATTGTTAGATCCACAAATCACATAATATTTTTTTATTACAGAAATTTTTACTCATTGTTTTCATTATTAAAAATATTGTGGGTTACTTTTCTATGAGATTTATATTGCTTAATTGCAAATTTTGCTTGCTCACCTGTAAGTCCATTCCTATAAGCATCCATGTACTGAAAAGAATGTCTAGCATATTTCCTAATATGTTCTAGTGATACAGAATCCAATGCTTTTGGAACCACCTTTTTCAATCCATTCCAAGAATAATAATCACAATTGTTTCTTGGCCTCTCCCCAGTATCTCAATAAAACTCAGTTCACAGTGAAATTTTGGGTAAAATATTACTTTGTGTCCCCTCTGCTCAATTATTTCTTGAATTAATGGTTTTTGAGCTAGAAAATCAGGCTGGGCTTCCAGAATATGACGAGCGCAACAATCATTATTTTCATTTGAATCATTACCACAAAATGCTCATAACCCATCTCTCCATAAATTTTGCTCTTGCAAAACAATACGCATACCTTTTGGTTGACCATCTGGAAACACCATTTTTTGAACTTGATTATTAAATACAGTATCTCT